GTATATTTTGGCAATTTTAAGTTCATACTATAACCTAGTCTCAGTAGTATCTAAAGCGGTTCTTTATGTCTCAATAGATTGAATCTACTTTTCCTGTCTAGACTAAAATCTACTAGACGTTTGCTGAATGCTGTCGGCTAAGTATTGATTGTTATATTGCCTCGTTAAAGTATCCTGTTTAGCTGAGTTGCATTCCTTGGGTCCACATCATCTGTTTGAGCTGATATACAGGTCTTTATTGTTTCATACCCCCACTGCTTTATCTTTCTCATCTTAATCTCGTCTATAATCTGTTCGTGACCGTAATCACGAATCATTTGATATGAGATCATATATTACATTGTTAATTTTTTATTTGTTTTTCAAATAATTTCTCTGAACTATCTAATGTCTATCGCACTTGTAATTATGCTTCTTTACTTCTAATTAATGACGGATCTGAAATTTATTAATTCTCACCATTATCGAGTTCTGTTACGGATTTTTGGATGTGGAATAAAATTGCTTTTGATCACTATTTTCACATGCCTTCGCTGCCTGTCTGTCGATTTCCATGTGAAATTTATTGTATAATTTAATCTATAAAAAATAATTATTTGATTTTATTGATTCAGCTTTTATACGCCTTATGCCAGTTTAACGCAATTTTATTCATTATAGAAATGGTTATACTTCGCTTTCGCAACTTTGTCATATTTTTAGGGGGACCTATATGTACGAAATGCCTTGAGTCATGTTTATTTCCAGCATCGGACCTTGGATTTAGTGCATTTTTTACACTGGCATTTTTCATGATTGCTCAGTCAAATGAATCTGGTTAAGATGCGTTCATTTAAATCTTTCTGTAAATACTACCAAGTTGCTAGTTCCGAATCACCCACTACTATAAAGCACACGGGGGGTGTGACCAAGTTTGGTGCACCATCTTTGTCTTGATATCTACAGTTTCGTTACAATCGGTCTATTATACTAGACTCTTTTGATGCCGCTTGTATCTATTTTCTTTCTACATGAGATTTGTACTAACCCATGAGCTAATCCATTGTAATCTATCACTTTTAACCATAGCCATAAATTTTTTTGCTAAGGGGCCATACTCGTTTTAAAAAAAGAATTTGTTACTATATTATCATTGTACTTGTTGAATCCTAGACTAGATTTTAGTGGATTTTTTGTCTTATCTTTTTTATGCTTGCCACATTTACCTTTAGAATCGATCTTAC